CGAGCGGCTCCCCGCAGGGAGGTGAACTGGAGATATTTTCCAGAATAATGGTAGAAAGCTGAGCTGGAGGATGGCTGTCTGCATCTACTTATCCATAACCTATCAAAAGGTGGCAACCCAGGCAGGCAATCAGCTCACTCATGAGCAGATGACAGCTGTCTGGAGTTTCATGCCATAATTACTGAAAAGGAAAATTTCTAAAGTAAAAAAGTAGGTTTGATAAATACATAGTCACCACAAGACTGCAGAAAAATTACCTTTTTTTTTTATAACTACAGTATCATAAATATGCCATACACGTTCTTTCTCAGAATAAGAAGTACTTATTATGAGGGTGCTAGGACTTTGTATAATCTTTATTTTCCCAGATAGAGATCATTAGGAATTTCACAGATTAAGACAGTGATCTGGCAATAATAAAGGGAAATAGTAGTGGAAGGAGAAAACTGGAATAAGTCATGGTGTTTCTCTTTTTCTGCCTTACGTTTCATTCTGCTTTTGGCACTATTGACCTCCCCCTCTACAATCTGATCCCAAATTTCCTTGCCAAATGTTTCTGCTACAGTGTCCTGATCTAGGCAAGTATACTGTAAATATAACTTTATTCTAAATATGCCCCTCCTTCTGCTCTAGGTGACTTCCTTTATTTTGCACTCTCATTTTAGAAGCCCTTCTCATTGTGTGACTGTCACGCACGACTGCGCAGAGAGCGCTCCTGCTCGGGGGCTTGCTGCACGCTGTGTTTCTATTTCTACTTGATGGAGTGAGTGTCTTTCACTCTTATCTAACTATCCGTAAGTAAATGGCTCAGGCCTTTCAGGAAGTGGGTCCCAGGCTTAAGCTTCTTTACCTTCTCTATTATGCTTTGTACAAAGAGAAGTATCCATATTTCTTAGTAAAGTGGTCTATAATAGGTTTACACGCAGTGAGATTTAATAGCTATTAGGAGAGATTTCTCTATCTGATTAAAACTCATGACCACTCATCACTATCAATGAGGGATTCTAACAAAAGGCTATACTTGCTGACATTTAAAAAAGTGAGGCAAGTGTGATAAAAAGATTGGGAACAACTGGTTTAGTATAAAGAATATTGGCATCATGGGTCAATTTGAGGGACTCTGGCAACTAGGGCAGTAGTTATAAAATGGGACAATTGGTGTCAAAATCAAAATAGGGATTATTTAAAAAATTTTTATTGAGGTATTGTCAGTTACAATGTTGTATCAATTTCTGGTGTACAGCACAATTCTTCAGTCATACATGAATATACATATATTCATTTTCCTATTCTTCTTCATCATAAGCTACTACAAGATACTGAATATATTTCCCT